GATTATCAAGTAAGAGTACTCATACAATCATCCAATCAAACAAACATAGCTAGGGTTCCTCAAAACCTAAGTGAAGGGAAGTTACTCCATAGAGAAGAGAGAGACTGCAGTAAGAATCTTATGATGATCAGTCTTCAAGTCCGGGCTTGTTCCTTGAGCTTCCAATGTGAAGAAATCCTCCAATTCCACTCCAAGAATGCCCTCAAATCGCCCCCTCTCTCTTTGGTTCGTCCCTTGGGTGTTTGGGATCCAAAACCCAGCTCTCCCTCTCCTTTGGCTCGAATTTGGGTTAAAAAACCCGATTCTGGGCAAAACACGGTCGAGGGCACGGCCGTGCTTTGCCTCAGCCCGCCCGTGTTTTCAGCTCGAGTTGGCCAAACTCAAATCAGCTCTCGGCAGTAAAAACACGGTCACAGAACACGGCCGTGTTCTGAAGGCCTACTGCCCGTGTTTTCACTGCCGAGCCTGTTCAATGCTTCGTTTCTCCCTCGTCCGGACTCCGAATCAGTCTCCGTTTGATCCCAGACGCTCGTAGTCTCGTCCTCTTTCATTTCATAACAAGCTTGCATGATTCTTTGTTCATGAAGTGAGGTAGAAATCCATTCTTCTTCAGGTCATACCCGAGTTTCTTCTCCCGAATCGTCAATTGATCTCTGATTGACTTGAACTTTGCGCCTATGCTTCACTTTATGTGCTAGGACCTGAAATATGACAAAGGAACACAACCTAGCGTAAAATAGGCCAAAGATGTGATAATTAAAGCTCAAACGATCAAGAAACACAGGGGAAAACATGTGCAAATATCGAGTCATCAACCATAAGCGCCTTGCCTTTCCCAGGCGCCATCTTAGCTGCAGCAGATTGGGGGGTAGAGACGGAGGCAGGCGACGCATTGGCAGGAATGGATACGCCCTTACGAGGCGCCTGCTGGGTCATCTTGTCATAGCAACTCTTCATCAAGGTCGCAATGCGAGCAAAGTTGGTACCTGCAAATAAATCAAGTCATCAGACAAGGCGCCTACAAAAAACATCAACAAGAAAGGAAAGCATTCAACACACCATCTCCATAGTATTCATCTAATATAGGCGCCCAGGCACTAGTGGGGCGCAGATTTATAGGGGAGGAGCTAATCAAGGCGGCGCCGTCCTTTTCTTCGCGGCTAAGTATGACAGAGGCGTTAAAACGTTTCTCGGTACCAAGCTCCCAATCCGTCCTAAAGGCGCCTCCGCTTTCGAAAAAGTAGTCCCTATGCACCTTCATAAAAAAGAAGCCCGTGAACCAGGTTCGTCCCAATTTGGGGCATCGTGTCACGAAATGGGCGCCCACCTTCTTCCGGCGTTGCAGTGATAAGCAATTATTTCGGGGCGTCACCGTGAAGAAATGGCGAAAAAGATTGAAAGTTGGGCGCACGTTATGAACCCGACATTTCAGTTTAAAGAGCACCACAATTAGTATCACGGAAGGGGATAGGCGCCCGATGGTGCACCCACAGTAATCGAGAATTCCCTCCATAATGGAGTCTAAGGGGAAACGTAGCCCAAACCGGAAGTACTCCTGGTAGATGCCCAACCAACGGGGGCCGCATAACCCCACTCGAGCAATAGGCGAAGGAGGCGCATACGTCCAGGTGCGGGGGAGCTTGAGATTCGCAATCAGATTTTTCATCCACGCGGCTGACATGGTGGAGTTGTGATCGGGCCCTGCCACGTTAGTAGGCAAGCACGTCGTCTCCCAAGGCGCATACTCAGGCGGCCAGGTGTTCTCCCAAGTGGTCATTTTGTACGAACCATCTTCTGGCATGTAGTAGTTCGATGAGGGCGTGGGGATTGGAGACAACGTAGGCGCCCCCGCTAAAACAAGTCAACCAGGCGCACAACCGTTGGCGATGTAAGCGGCGCCCACACACAAAAAAAAAAAGCGCGAGTACTCACCAGTTTTGGAGGAGGCGCCTTGGCCCTGAGAAGCACCCGCGGCCGTAGCATCATCGGTAGCTTTAGTCATGATAAAACCGACGAACAACACGCTGAGGAAGAGAGACGCGGCAGAGAGAGAAGTTAGAGTGAGAAAGGAGTTTAGGGGCGAATGAAAAGCAATGAAGAGTGGTAGCTTACATTTAAAGAGTAAGGCAACCGCGCCTCGGCAATCGTGCCACTGGCCACGTGGTTCAATCACAACCGCGCAATTTGAATTTCAAAATCGCGGTTGTGAGGGGGGCAGCAGGAGAAGAGGCGCCCTTGAGTTTTTCGAACAGAGAAGAGGCGCCCTCAGAAACAATAGAAGGGAGTAAGGCGCCTTAGGGTTTTTCGTTCAGAGAGAAGGCGCCTCCGGTGAGTAGGAGAAATAAAAAGGAAGAAGAGGGTGCGCCTATGAAAGAGGAATTTGAGAAAAGGAGCGGCCGAAAGAAAGGGCGCGATAGTAAACGTTGAATTGTACGTGAGGCAGGCGCCCTGGATTTTTTTTTTCATACAAAGAAGAGGCGCCCTTGGAAATAGGGAGAGGGAGCAAGGCGCCTTAGGGTTTTCGCTCAGAAGAGAAGGCGCCTTCGGCGAGTAGGGGAAATAAACAGGAACAGGAGGGTGCGCCTATGAAAGAGTTGGGAAAAGGAGCGGCCGAAGGGAAGGGTGCGACAGTAGAGCGTTTGAATTGTACGCGAGGCGCCTAGTGATAGGTGTTGAACAAGGATGCGCCTTTAAATGAAATACCCGGGTTGTGCAATGAGGGCGTCAATGGAAAAATAATGAGCATGGGTGCCTTGATATGTATTCGAAGCAAGCGCAAATGCATTGGGTGCATGAGTAGGGGGGAGAGACCGCTCAAAGTGGCGGCATTGTAGGAGTACAGAGCAATTAGTTAGGCACTCAAGATATATGACTTGAGCACCTAACTGGGGGGGCAATTGTTGGGGGTAGTTCGACGGAGAAAAACCTACGATGTGGCAAGGAGTCGGGTGCGTGTGAAAAGCCCCAGAGTGGGTCTTAAGAGAAGGGGCCTGAAGGAGAGTTGGGCCCAGAGGGAGTCTTACAAGGAGGGCCTGAAGAAGAGTTGAGCCCATTTAAGAAGGCCCGGGGGCAAGGGAGCAGGGAGGAAGATCGACTGCTCATGAGGCGCCTGGATCAAGTCATCATGGAGAGTAGCGGGACCAGGCGCCTAGGGGGGGACGATGGTGTGATGATGACGTGGAAGTCCGTACGGTACGGTAAATAATGAACAGTTATAAATAGTATGGTTGGTAAGCATTTAGGCAGTTTGGCTTCTGTCACTAAGCTTTTGGGGAAATTACTTCTCTCTCTAAAGTGGAAGCTGACTTGATCGTTGGAGGATTAACGGGCCACGAGGCCCACTCCTGTGTGTGTGGGTAATTCCACGGGGGCAAGGCGGGTGAAGCTTAGAAGGTGAAAGGGGGCTTCAACACCAACCCATCTGATCTTATTTGCACCATTTGTGTTATTTACTTTTTTGTGTGTGTAATTATGGTAGAATGTTTTAGAAACTGTTGATAATGTGTTTGGATGGAAAATATTGGATACACAATGAGTATTTTGATTAATGAACACAAAATCAGGACGTAAAATAAATTATTTATGTCGGTTAAATGAAGCAACCTTAACCAACAGACAAAATACATAAGTTTTCTTGCATTGTTCATGCCTTGTTACAATCAATCAAATAAATATACACATTCTGAGAATCCTAACTTCCAAATCACCCCATAAGATTCTCTTGTTGTCAGTCTAGAAATCAGTACGGTAGTGACCACTCATAAATGATATATATTCGTTTCAATAAAAAAAAAATATTTGTCGGCTAAATTACACGTTTGGTCACTCAAATTACATAAATCTTTCACGTTTGCCACCCGAAACACTTGTTTTCATATTGACCACTAAGTTTACTATTCGTTTCACTGTTAGTCCCCGTCATACTCCGTTAGCACTATTAGTATTTTGATGATGTGGAAAACAGAACTGTTGACTGGACTGCTAAATTAATGACATGTCAATTTAAAAAAATAAAAAATGAAAAAGTAATTAGAGGAGTTTCCCACCATCCCCTTCCTCGTCTTTTTCGTCTTCCCCATCTTCACGCAGAACCGCAGACACCCCCACGGTGGCACCCAATGCAGTCAAAATCGGGATTTTAAGTAAAATCGAAAACAGGTAGTATTGTACTCGTAAATTAAAATCGTAATATTTTAAAATTCATATTAAAATAAACACTTAAACACCAGATAGTACTAAAAATGCATATACTGAATAACAATCAACCACATATAACATAACTACTTCCCAAGATAAGTTTGTTTGCTAAATAACTACAACTAAATCCATATATTTATTCTTGTACATAATATAAACACACAAATAAACAACCTGAAACCTCATGTAAATCACTTATTTAATAGTTAAGAGTATAAAAACTCATAAAATCATTAGGATCAATATTAAAATCACTTACACATTATCATCATCATCATCCTCAAGTTCACCCTCAATCTCATCCATGTCTATTTGCTTAAGGACTAATATCATTACGCTTAGGATCAGTTAAAGTACTTTCACCAATAATCATATTTCCTTGATCACCATCATCTGGCAAAGATAACTCATTGATTGGTACATTCCCTTGTTAGTTGATAAAAAGCCAGGGATAGTGGTGCTGAAGTATTGGGAGATGAACGAAAGCCTCAATTGAAAGGAGATTTGGATTATTGTGAGGGTGCTGGGAACAAACTACAAGCTAATTATTGGGAGGGTGGAAGATATCGTTGATGGAAGGAGTTGAGCGTCGACGTTTGAAAGCATAAGATATGAGGAAGAATAAAAATAAATTAAGGGTTGTCTATCGGGTTAGGGTTGGGTTGTTCATTATGTTGGGTCGGGGAAGTAAACCTGACTAGTTCATGGGTAGAACCCGAATTGACTGGCCTAATTTTGCTCCAATTGATATGAGTCTTAAAATCGTTAAAAATCGTAGAAATCATAGATTTCAAGGATTTTAGAGCCTTGTTGCTGCTGTTGATAGGTTGAAAGATACTTTCTGCCGGCAGCATGCACTTGATCTAATTTTCACGGAAGAGGGTGATAGCTCTCTGACAGCTGATATGTACATCAACATGGACAAAAACGTGGAGGAGTTAGCATCGCTTCCCTCCCCAATATTCCAGGTATGTAAATTATGGAATCAAAAGAATTATTACTGTGCATATAACAGCTTCAGATTGTTCTCGACAATCTAAATCATTAAGACTGATATAAAAGCTTCAGAATATTCTCTAAGTACATATGACCATTCCCATTAGGAGAGGACTCCCCATATCTCAAAATAAAAGGGGGAAAAAAAATGAGACCCCGACTCTTAACATTGTTCACTTGGGTAAAAATTGCAGGAACTTTTTGTAAAGCTGAACAGGATGGCTAGTTTAACAGCAGACATGTTTGCGGGGAGAGAAAGATTTGCAACTTTACTGTCGATGAGACTGACTGAAACTGTCATATTATGGCTATCAGAAGATCAAAGCTTTTGGGATGACATTGAGGAAGGCCCGAGACCGCTTGGTCCTATGGGCTTACAGCAGGTATGAAACCAACAACCTTATAGTCGAAAAAGTGTTGTCTGTATTCTGTTCCAAGTTCTAACATGCTGCTGTATTTCATGATGATGATTTATCTGCCCAGTTCTATCTTGATATTAAGTTCGTCTCGTGCTTTGCCGCCCAAGGACGTTACCTGTCACGAAACTTGAACCGGGTTCTCAATGAGATCATTAACAAGGCTGTGCAAGCATTTTCCAGTACTGGGATGGATCCTGACAGGTAAAATTTTCTGTACACTCTCCTAGAGTATTGATCACAAACGGGGCCAAATTGATGCATTCTTTTGATTCAACAATAGGAAACTCAACCCTAGTCCAGATAATCAGTCTCATTCTTCTTGTTGGCAATGTTTTGGCCTTCTCAAAGACTGAACATTTTTCTCCTGTCGCGAAATTTGTTTCCAGGGTACTACCGGAAGACGAATGGTTCATCGAGGTATGTCATGAAGCCATGGAAAGATTAAGTGGGAAACCGAAAGCCATAGATGGAGATCGAGAACTCAACAGTCCGACGGCCTCTGGGTCTGCACAATCGATTTCATCTGTGAGTACCTAATTTTCCTTCAAAGTCTTTACAGATTCCCCCTCCTGTAAATTTCATAATCGCGGGTAGAATCCTATATTTCTCCCCCACCCTGGTTAGACCGATTCTTTCTTTCTTTTTTCCCGTTTGTTCTAGTGTGCTCTGTAAATTTGTTTTGGGTTGAGTTGTCTGATAAGTCTCTGTTGTGCCAATATCTGAATTTGTTGTCTTAACCAACCGTCATCCAGGTTTGTAACCATTAGGTGACGGATTGTAAGTTGAGGGTTAAAATGTCGCTTCGAAACAACAACAAATAAGTTAGACAGTAAAAGAACGAGGTTTCTTGTCACATCATATAAAAAAAGGAATGTCACATCATTCTACGCATATGCTCAAGGGTTGTTTATTTTCTTTGATTCATTGATTGCTTGAATATCATAACATGTGATATTACTTAGAACTTGATTGTGCGAAGTAGGTAGGTTAATCCGTTCTTATATAGATCTGTACTCTCTACTCATATCGATACAATATGTTCTACCCTTCTTATAAAAATAATCGGCACAATATGTGTTAGTAAACTACATAATCTTGTTCTACCAAAAAAACTACATAATCTTGTGTCGTTTATATTTTTTCTTTGTTGATTGCACGTTTAACTTATAAAAATAAGCATTTCAATTATCTATAGAATATAGTCCACTAGGAAACATAGCTGCAATTTGCGATACAGAACACCAAAACTTATACAAAACTAGGATTCGGGACCAGCCGATTACATTTCCATTTGAAGTAAAGCTGTAGACGGGAGCAGTTCCTGTAAGTAACTTACCGGTCAGTAACGGTGAGTAACCACCCCATCCGCCGTCCATTGCAATCCATTAACAACCGTCAGATGTAAAATAATAAATACACGTAGGGGTAAAATAGTAATCGACCTTCTGACAATTTGAAAAAGGTAACTGACACTTCCCCGCCATCATTATCACCAGAGAAATCGCAGACGGTTCGAGTTTCTGCTTTTTTGCTCTGCATTCACGCTATCCATTCTCTCACTCTCTCTCTCTCTCTCGCGTTTCATCTTCGCAAACTGCACCGTCGAAGTCGAATCTCGAGTTTTCAGTTCGCTTAGCAAAGGATTCCGATCTCAGTTATTCAGCGATCAAGTGAGGGTTTCCACTTCGACGCCTTCAGTGATCAAGTGAGGGTTTCCACTTCGACGCCTTCAGTGATCAAGTGAGGGTTTCCACTTCGACGCCTTCAGTGATCAAGTGAGGGTTTCCACTTCAACGTCTTCAGCGACAAAATTAGGGTTTCCAACTTAGACACGATCAAGGTAAATCATCACTTCTTTCTTCAAAAACTAGATTCGTGATTCTGAATGTCTAATTTCAAGTACATACATCACAAAAACCAAACGAAAAACTCTACTATGCTTGATGTTTTCACAATACCACACTAGTACCATGTGGTATTCTAAGGGGAAAAAGTTCTAGCAGTGGTAAAAGTACTTACAGTGAACTACATTTTATAGAAACATGTATAAACGACAACAAAACCTATTCCATACTCTGATTTCTTTACAATACCATAGTATACCATATGGTATAACATGGTATAAACACTGGTACCATATGCTATTATAAGGAGAAACCGTTCCAATAGTGGTAAAAGTACTTACAGTGAAATACATTTTATAGAAAAGTGTATAAAACGACAACAAAACCTATTCCATACTCTGATTTTTTTACAATACCATAGTATACCATATGGTATAACATGGTATAAACACTGGTACCATATGGTATTATAAGGAGAAACCGTTCCAGTAGTGGTCAAAGTAAAAATGAAAAAGATTTTATAGGAAAAGTATAAAAACCTATTCTATGCTCAGATTTTCTTACAATACCACACTGGTACAATATGGTATTCTAAGGAGAAACCACACAAGTACTGGTCAAAGCCACTACCTCAATTATTCATTTGCTTACTGATAGAATATGGTATAGTATGGTATGCTATGGTATGGTAGTTGGTGTTTTTGCTTACTGGTAGAATATGGTATGCTATGGTATGCTATGGTATGTTATAGCAATTCTTCTATTCTGGATGCAGGTACATCATGTCGAGACATAGGGACAAATTTCGAACAAGGTGCAGCCCGACAAGAATCAATGCACTTTCAAGAACATTAACAGCTGAACAGAGGGAAAAATTGCAGGAATTAGGCCTTGATGGCTTAACATCCATCCAGCAAACAAAGATAAACACGAACTTTGCTCTATTCACAATGAGCAAGTACAATCCGATAAAGAAAGCATTCAAGCTGCCTGGTGGAACCTACATGAAGATATCACCAATTGACTTTCATAGAGTTTATGGTCTACCAATGGGTAAAAAGGAAGTGACGCTCAAGAAATTATCAGTGGAAGAAGCAGTAGACTATGCGTCGCAGGTCCTACTAGAACTAGAAGCTCCAGCTACAAATGGAAGGGTGAAATTAGCTAATGTAGAGCATGACATTTCTAATGCTCATACCATTGCAATATGGATCAAGCTGTTCTGGATTCTGGTTACGGGAGCTCTACTGTGCCCATATTCAAACCCTACTGCTGAGTTGAATGTGCTGGAGTACTTGCAGCCAGACACAATCAACCATTTCAAAGAATACAACTGGTGCAAGTTCTTCTTCGACTACATGAATAACGGGTTGACTGCAAACACCGTGTACATCAATGCAGATCTTCATTTCTTAACAGTAAGTATCTATACCCACAATAATTCCATTTTCAATTACTATACCCTAAAAGCTTTACAAATCCTAGTACATCAAATACTAATACAACTGTTTCTCCTTGCCACAAACAAATAAAAGGTATGCTTCATGTACAAGTTGGATGAAATGGCCTTCTCCACCCAGTTCCAAATCCCAACAGCAAGCTACTATGATGGCACTGCTGTGCAAAGGAACTATGAAAACATAGTGAGCTACTATGGTGGAGAAGAACTCCATAAGCTGATGAAGATACAGGACAAAGAAGAGAAGATTGTCGACATTGACAGTGATGATGATGACAACAACACAGACCAACAACCATCAGCATCACTAATATTTGATTTGAAGATGACCAAGACTGTCCCCCAAGTAAGTATAAATTACCATATGTTACAAATTGTCCAATTCATACAACTAAAATACCACACATGAACCATGGTGGTAATATATGGTATTATACTGTATAATGCACATACCATTCAATACCACCATGGTAATATGTGGTATTCTACTGTAAATATTAACTTACAGACCAAAAATGACTAATGCAGGCTGAGAGAGCACTGAAGATGGTGAAAACATCAATGAAAGCTATGTTGCTATCAATCAAGAAGCAGTACAGAGCTCAAATTGAAGAGCTTGTCAAACACAAGGAAATGTTGGAGCAAAAAGCTGATCAAAACTTTGATGATGTGGAAGGAGAAAGATCTGATGACGTGATTATCGAACAAACTGAAGGAGCTGAGTCTGATGATGAAGATATAGAAAAAGATGCAAACCTGCAAGACACTCTGCAGCATTTTTTTGACAAGCTCAAAACAGACAAAAGGAAAGAACCCACGTCACTGAATCTGAAGGAAATGATGATTCTCAACAAACAACAGTGGATCTAGCTGGACCAACACAATGGAAGAAAAGGAAGAATCAAGATGGTTCTCCAACAAAACCAGAAGCTCAACAGCAGAAAGAGAATCCTGCTGAAACTGCTGAGAAGGATACTACTGAAACTGCTGAGAAGAACCAGGAGGCCAGCAAAAAAGGAAATCAAGAAAAGTCAAGTGAAATGAATCAAGATCAGGAAGCAGATGACAGTGAAAAGACACAGTCAGATGTGCTTGTTTCAAAGGAGGGAGAAAAGGAGAAGAACAATGATGAAGAAGCAATACAGCCACCACCAAAGACTGCAGGAAAACCCACAGATGCACCACCAAAGACAGCCACCACCAAAGACAGGGACATACCATCTTTTGACCTCAGCCCATTCAATCCACCATCACAAACAGAAAATGTCAACATCACCACAGCAACAGCATCACAACAACCAGAAGAACCGCGCAAAAGAAGGATAGTGGTTAAGAATGTCCATGGACCAGAGAAGAAAGCAAAAACATCAACCCCTCCACAATAAAAAACAAGCAAACAGTTGGAGAATAAACAATTCATTGAATGGTCAAGCTTGTACTCGAACAGCCAGGAGAGGCTACAGGAGATAAATGCATGCTTGGCTGCTTACATTGATGACCTGAGTACACCAGTTTCACAACCAATGCCAGGAATGGACTCATCAGCAGCAAATCAACCAGTTGAAGCAAAAGATGGTGCCCTAGATGCAATCCCAATTGCAATGATGGTTACACCACCTCAGACAACTCCTGATGAAGTTTTCAATGACATTCTTGAGTACATAAGGTGCAAAGACAACAAAATTGTCTCCGAGTAAGTAAATTTCTTAATATCAATTAATTTCTTAATGACATATGGTATGGTATGGTATGGTATGATATGGTATAATGTTGAACAATACCACATGGTATAATGTGGTATACTCTTCTGAACAGGGACGAGGTAATGTTCAGAAGAGAGGATGGAACAGGCTTGCTCAAAAGGTCATCATTGCAATCTGTTGACATAGATCAACTGATAACAAATGATGTCGTGGACTGGTATGGAGATCTGATGAACAGAGATCAAGCAAAAACAGGAAAAATCACCAAGTGGTTCTTCTCTAGTCATTTGGCAGTAAGTTTGTCCATATTTTAATGTACTATACTTACCATACCTGAATATATGATTGCTTTAACATAATTTCAAATGTACAGTCTGACTGCAAGCTGGACATAGAAAACAACAAACCTCCACTAAGTGCAGACCAATACTTCGACAAGGTGGATGAATATATTTCTGACAAACCATGGGCAAAAGACCTCAGCTTCCAGAACTGTGACCTTGTAAGTAACACTACAAATACCATAAAATACCATATGGTATGACATCAAAAAACTATTCCTCAAAACATATTTATAATTGTCCATTAACATTCTCACTTCATTTATATGCAGTGGTTCTTCCCTTACTGTGATGGTGAACACTACATCATGATCTGTGTCAACATCAAGAACACAAGATTTGATGTGCTTGACAGTCTCCGCTACCAAGACTTTGACTCGACTTACAGACCAGTGGCAGCAAGAGTTGTCAATTATGCAATCAACTACATGAGTGTGTACGGTGGAAACAGACAAATCCCCTGGGAAAAGTTTGACTGGTTCAATCTGGGGAAGATTACACAGCCAGATAAACGCTCATGTGGATTGTACATCATCAGATGGA